GAAAGTTATATGGAAATGTTTACATTAACATTAGCTGTCATGTTAAGCAGATAACATTAATTTAGCATAAAATATCTAATACAGTAAATCTACTTAGTGGTTACTGTGAGGAACAGGGCTGGTGAGGTTGGCAGCAATGTTTGTTTCAAAATAAACAGACGTCAATAGAGCTCTCCCTTCTTATCTCTTCTCCTCACACTGTTTCTACACTGTCTCTGTCGTCATAAGGGCAGTGCCAATGCTGCGTAGCATGTGAGTATTTGGATCTTTTTGTGGGTGTGTCAGCCTGCTTGTCTGTGTACATGATGAGGTACAGTCATTAGAGCCCTGAGTAAAAACATCCTCACCTTACAGCACAATGAGAGTATGAGCGAGATGCTGTGGAAAAGTCATCCTCACTCATTTTTTTACAGAATGCCCAAGAGCTTTTTAAAAACTGAAAGCCAGAGAAGTGAAGAAGGGAAAAGACACATATGGCATACATGGGTAGGACTCCAAGGTGGAGTTTTGTGGCCAGTAGGGCTCACTCCTCTTCCAGTCACAGGAAGCCAGTAGGAATGAGAGGAATGCAGTCAGGCAATACGGTGATGGAGGGAGCAGCAGTTGCAAGGCAGATTGCCAAAAAGGGTGAAAAAAAAGGAGGGAGTTGGGGAAAAGATAGGGAGAGTGAGAAAGTGATTACAGAGTGAAATAGCCTGGGATGCGAATGATTTAGATGCACAATCAGGCAAAAGCCAACATTGGGATTGCCTCCAGAGGCACGCAGTCATGCTCACATAACAAAACAAATGGCCAGCGGTGGCTTTTGTTGTTGCATGTGGTGCGAGTGTAACTGTTCTCTCTGATATTGACAGTTTGATGTGGATAATGTGCTTGATATTGGAGTAGTCACTGACGGAAATGCCACAGAACATTAGTGTGACCCATGGAATGTGTGGAGTTATCAGCCGAACAGATTTCCTGGTAACGGGTGGAGGCTGGGGGTCCGCAAACAAGAATTTGTTTTTTACTATGCAGGGGGTCATCCTACCTTACACACGCACATGCAGAGGCATGCACTGACATGTAGACAGCACACTCAGACACAGCTTTTCTTTCTTTTTTGCTCATCTATTTCAGTTTGACAGTTGAACTGCCATTTTACTACTGTGTCAGGTGTACTTTTTATGTTTGTTGTCAAGTCAAGTCAAAGGCACAAGAGGGCTTTACAATATGTACAACATATCAAATCATCTATCCTTAAACCCTTGTTTCAGATGAAGAAAACACCACAAAAAACATTTTACGAAGAGAAAAAATCCTCAGGAAGAGCAATAGAAGAGAGATTCCTCTTCCAGGTCTGACAGACATGAAATTGGTGTAATTAATACATACAAAGTAGACAGAATTTGTATTAGTAGTAAACTGATACCCATCTCAGTTTCTAAAGACCTTTTTTTTTAGCTCATTGTTTTGCTTATACTGCAATACTGTTTTGGTTGATTCTCACTGCTCTCATCAACCCTGTTTCCAGCAGCAGCAGACAGCTTGTTTTTTTTATTCATTTATTTATTTTTAGCAAAAAGGCTCTGATAAAAACATTGTTTTGCAGCAGTCAGACAAAGTTACAGTAGCGATTAGACAGTAAACATAGTGGAGAATTTAGCAGCTAATTTAGCAACTAGAGTTAGTGGAGACCAAAGCATGTTTACCACAATATACAGAAGAAAGAAAAGAAATCCAATCAAACTAAGAATCTAAAGATCATTGCTTTGTTGTATACACTGAAGAAAAAAGTTCCATTACGTATGTAAAACAGTGGTTGTGGTAATGCAATGTTTTTTTGAGTTTTCCCACACTTAGCCTATTATAATAAAGACCAATGCAAATGTTCAGGTACGCCCAGCTAAGCTCTTGCTAGCAGTTGTGTGGTAACTTTGAACCAAGAAGGCGCTGGAGGCTGCTTGCAGCAGCGGGTAGCCTCTAAAGCCTTTCCATTCCCAACAGCAAAGCAAAGTGAACCCACAGAGAGGATAGACAGCCAGCGCTCGCCTAGTTTCTCTGGAAACTGACTGTGATGCTGGAAAGTGTTGCTTTACGACGCCTTCACACTCCTGTGTGTGCATGTGTTGAAAAAGGTCAAAACAGAGTTCAGAACAGTGTGTACCCCTTTGAAAACGTTTGTGACGTGCCTTTTGAAGTATGTTGTACCAAAAAAACTGCCAAGAGGTGTTTTCACTGAGGGTCTTGTGAACTTAATGCTCATTTTGAAAAAATCTTATGAATCTGTCGAATATTGTAAGACAAATTAAGAACTTTTAATGGGTTAAACATATATATAGTAGAATATCAGAGAAGCAAAACATATTCAAAAGTCTTTTGTGCCATTTAACTCATGGCCTGAAACAGAGAGGAATGTGAAAAAGGCAACAACTTATCATCAACATTTACTTTATATTTCCTACTACACGTGGTTTCCATCTCTGTACAGTACTTTCTGAAACTACCTAGTTAAACCACTTCCTCCATGACAAAATGTTTATAACAGTTTTTCCCTGTACACTTAAACCTTCCCATGGCATTCAAATTAGATACAATTCTTGCAGTAAAAATACTTTTCCACAAGGGGGTGGTACTCAAATAAATGACTGCATCAATTGTTTGTTATCTAAACACAAACAACAGCCTGTTGGAAGAGTTGGAAGTGAAGTTACTATTCGCTGCTCATTAGTATCATGCACACCAACCACTGAGTTCCTTCTTCATCCCTTACAGTGCTCACTTGACCTCAGTTGGCAGCCTCTGCTGTAATGAAGAACCCTCCTAAGGACTTAATGAGACGTGATCTGTTTTGGATAACCATACTTTTGACCTACTGTTACTGATCTGTCCTTCAGCAATTGGAATAATTCAGTTTGGTAATTGAAAACATTAAAGAAGGCTTAAAGTCTGTAGCTACACAAGTGTCTCGTCTTTTGAAACTGAAACGCACAACATTGCTCCCAATCCTTCTTTGCCCCCAGTTGACACCCACTCAGCTTGATCTAGACCCCTGTGACGTGACTTTCTTACAGAGAAATAGTCTGATTCAGTGACCCTGAGAAGGAGAGTCCCTGAGGGCCACTTCCAGCTGACTGTGGACTCTTAACCTACTGCCCCTCAAACCAAACAAACCCAGAGTTTGATGATTTATCACAATGACAGAACCGTCAAGTTCATCAAGTTATTTTTGTACAGTTTGCACACAACATGTCTTTGTTTTCCACCAATAAAATCAAATATGGCTTTAGTTTTCAACATTTCTCACTTTTCATTATCGATTAATTTACCAAATATTTTCTTGATTTATCAATTAATCTATAAAATGTTAGCAAATACCCATCACAAGTCCCCAAGATGGTCTTTAAATGTCTTGTTTTGTCTGACCAATTGTCCAAAATCCTAAGATACTTTTTACTATAGTAGAAAAAAATTAAATCAATCAACTATTTGATCAAGTACTAACCATTTCAGCTCTCTTTCTAACTATAAATATGTGAATCACACAATATGACATACAGTGCTTTTTTTGCTAATAGCCTAACAGAAAAGATAACAGAAGAGAGACAGAAGTAATTTCAATGGCAAATGAATTCTGAGACACATTGAAAGTATTAATTTGATTATCAGGCAACCTGAGAGTGATCATGCTGCAATCCTAGAATTTATTAAAACATATACATAAGACATACACACAAAATGTGTATATGTCTGTCTGGATAGGGTGCCATCTATCCAGAGTCCAAGACTACTCCAAGTTCTACTTTGAAAATTTGTCTGTCAGTATTAAACTCCCTAAAACAGGTATTTGTGTTCATCACTGCAGGACCAAATGCAAATAAACCATAAATGTCATCAGTTAATCCCCCATTATTTTCAGAGAGTAGTTACAGTCTGATTTATGGCCCAACAAACCTGTAGACAAGTCTCTAAAAATGGAGCACGGGAGAGTAAAAATAGAGTGAAAGTTTAGTGTTTTGGGCGAGAGAGCAAGCAAAGGCTGAGGCCAGCATTTCATCATATGCAGCAAGTTTTATGCACAGTGCACAAAAACAAGGAGGGACGGGGTGAAAACCTGAACTTGCTACACAGCAACCTCTACTAACTTTGTACCTATCTTTCTAATAATTTCTGATCTAATAAGGATGTTATAAGCATGTGGCAGTGGTGATGTGTTACAGGGTCTGTGCTACAGGTCCAGTCCAGATCTTTCTAAAAAATAAGCATAACACAAGCAAAATTTGACAACAAAGTATGTCAACATTTTTTAAATCTTTGCTCCTTGCTGGTAGTGTCCTGGCTTGAAAGTATTCAGTGCAAAGCACAGCCAGTGTTGTGATAGCAACTTAATTAACTCTCACTGTGTCAACTAAACGTCTCTCCAGCCTTTTTCTGAACAAGTTCTTTCTCTCATCCCTTGTCTTTCTGTTCGTGTTTCCTGCCGTAAGAGACTGTTGTTATGTGTCTCCTTATTCTTTGCACTCTATTACTTTTTGTGGACAGACTAGCTCTCCAGAGTGGGTGGGTCTGTTTCCAATTTTCTCCCCTTCCCCGTCCTTAGAAACGACACTTCCAAAACCAAAAAAATAAGATACAATTTTTTTTCTGTTGCTCACCACAATGTTTGTCTTGCTCGTCATGATTTTTAAGCATTTGCAGTGATATCAATGTATAAGGCAGATACTACATTAAATCCAGAACAAACCCAAGCTTCTCACAGCTGAAGCCATTCAAAGCTGACCATCTGCCGGTACAAACAGTGAAGATGAACCAAAGAAACAACTGAACCAATAATCTTTCTTTTGGGCAAAACTGTGTCCACATCTGCAAAACTACCAGAACTGTTAAAATCCTCTCTTCAGTGTATAACACATATAAAATCCCAGTGAAATACAGTCACTGATGGACAATTTTTTTTAAACAGCTGTTACACATTCTTTCACAGATAGATATATTACGTGCAAACGTGCAATATTTCCTACCGGTTTTGTGTGCTGACATCCAGTGAGAGGTCCCTCCGTGCTCCCACAGCAGTTGAGTCAGTCAAAGAGGCAGCAGTCGGACAGACTTGGAGGCTCAGGGAGAAGATAGATCCTGCTTTGACAGGGGAGTGGTGCTGCAACGCTAGAGCCGAGGTGTGCACTGACAGAGGCATTCACAGTCAACTGCTTGACACAACGCGCTGCCTTTGACTTTTCTGTGTCTTGCACTTCCTCTCATGCGAGCTTAACTATATCTCTCTTTCTCTTTCTCTCTCTCTCTCTCTCTCTCCTGTAATCACTCCCCCTAATTCTTTTTTTTTAAGAGAGGACACAGTTGCTCTGCCCTATCAGCCCCCTGTAACTTCTTGTCAGTGCTGCCCCTGCACCAGAAGCTCCGGGGATGGAGGGGGGTTGTGGAGGTTGTGTGTATGTCTCTGTGTGTGTGTGTGTGTATGTGTGTGTGTGTTTGTGCTGGAGGGAAAGAGAAAGAAAGAGCGACAAATTGTGTAGCTGCTCGTGTCTGACAGGCAATAGCAGGAAGTGCTGCTTAAGGATGCACAAAGTACACGGGACAAAAAATAGAAAACTGCATCAAGCATTACACATGTTAAAAGAAATATTACAATGGTATTATACTGTGCTTGTTAAAGTGAGACCAATAACACTGTAAACAAAAATCCTACAAAGCAACAATTGTTTGAGTGTCTCACTGTCGTCTTTAATTTAACACAACAGCATCATTTACACAATTTATGCAGTTTTTAGCCAGAAATGTGGGATAGTGAGATGAAAATTAGGAAGACTATTGACTATTATATGATCATTAAAACTAACGTAAAAAACTATTCAATTATGTGTTTATTAAATGTAATAAATAACCTCAATTTGTTTAAATGATATGTTAATATGTTAAGTTTATTTAAGTAAGTTCTTTCAGCAGGATCCACACAGTGGATATTTAATAGTTTCCCATTTTCCTTCCTGTACTTGTGAGGTAAACTTCTGTCCTAAAATATCCCCTTAAACTCTATGACCCAGTCCAGCTCTCACTTCTGTGTAAACACACAAATTGGGTATTCAGTGTGATTACATACACAAAGCAACATATTTCAACCCAGCAATTACATTTCTGCCTGAGTGAAATTAACAAGGGAGAAAAGCAGCCAGGATGTGGGTGATTTACGAGAGAGCAACCCAACAGTTTAAATGTTTAACTAATTATAGTAGTTTGTTTCATTGTGATCTTATCTCTGTGAACATACTGATTACCTGCCTTAAGCATTTTTGGCTTACAAAAAATCAAAAGCGAACACAGGTTATGATTTCATTATTTAAATGTACGTATTTTCTAAGGTACAGTAGTCATTCGGGTAAACGCACATTTCCCCGGAAACATGGGCGGAAAAGGGCGAGTTACAGCATGTGGTTTTCTCACAGATTTGTCACCACTCAGATCTGTGGGGAGCCGGAGATTCATTCATATAAAACTATAACGTCAGAGAACTCAAAAAGGCTGAACCGGTGTTTAGTACGTTGGGATGCAACATAACAATAAGTCATGGGATGCAAATAGAGCACATGTATTCAACATATGTGTAGTTTGGCCATGAAATTCAGACCTGGTTTTGTATTGTAGTCCAGCAGTGGATGCACTAGCTTTTACAACTTATTTGTCAAAACTACTGTAAAGCCTTCAAGAATCTGATATGATACCAATACACTGTTGATAATATTATCACAAAAAAGTGAAAAATTATAACTAAACTAACTAAAGTTCAAGGTCAAATGTCCAAAAACCCTAAAATATTCAGCTAACTACCATATATGACAAAGAATAGCAGCAAATCCTCATATTTAAACAGCTGCAACTGGGCATTTGTGTTTGAAAAATGACTGGAAATAAATTATTTGTTTGATTGATTGAAAATAATTGATTATCTGTGAATTTCTTTCCAGTTCTTCTAGATGTTAATATATACATATATATATACGAACTGTAGCTAAGCCAACATACATTAGTGTTGCTGTTAAGTTGAATTAACCTGAGTTGATTTTAGGGAGTTTATCCTCAATTAACTTCTTTGTCTGTGGAACAGAAATGCAGCTAAAAGGTCGAAAACTATCCTGACCTCAACTGCTGTGTGGTCTGGCTCCTTCCACCACTGCGCTAGCAGCTATGGATTAGCTTTCTGGTTCAAATGTAACTTCATCCTTTGGGAAAACATACTGACCAAAAGAAACTCATGTTTGGGGGTTATGACCCTTTGTCCTCAAGGCAAGTGAAAGGGATTCTGACGTTGACTTGCCCCAGTCTCAGTTTCTCCTCAAACAAACTTGCTGAAGAGAGGATTTTGATGTGCAAATTTCCAATCTATATACAAAAGCAAAAAATCAACACATTATAACTACAATTTGTCATGAATTCAAAGAAATGTAATTATCTGTGTCTCAACATTTTTTATTTAATTTCCAGATATCTGACTTACTAGATGTTCCACTCTGAGAGTATGTGGGTTTTGATATGCATAAAAGAAACAATTTGCATTATGAACCCACTTTTCAAGCCCTGTAAACACAAATTCCTCACAATCTGGTGTAATCAACAGGAGTTGGGCACTCTCAAGGCTGTGGCTGAGTTGATACAAAGAACTAAGCTGTTCCTTTTGGAGCACAGAGAGGAAAAGGAGACGCTGATAAGAAGCAGGTTATGAGTCCTTGAGGAATACAATGGGATCTGCATCATCTGGAAACATGAGGTGCACACAGGCTGTAAAAAGTCCCTAAAGATCAGTATGAGGAGGAGCAGTAGGAAAAGGGGGTGGGGGGCCACCTTTATCTGCCAGAGCAGTCGAGACAGATCACAAGAAGAGGAAAATACTGGAAATGTCTTATCAGCATGCGAATTACCATCTTTTTTCCCCAATATGCGTTTTAACTTATCTATCTTTATGATTGCCCCTTGTGGCATTTGCAAGAAAATGTCTGCTATGCGTACAATGTTTCAAGACTTCTTTTTGTTGCCGCCAAAATACTTTCCCTCATGAGTTCAGACTTTAAATGACTTGAAATGTTTCAGTAGTTGTGCTGATGCAATACTTAAGTTTAAGGTACAAATACCAAAAAAGTAATTTTGAATTCCTTCCTTACAAGACATATAAACATGCTTTTGTATATAAAAAAATCTTCAATCTTAAATGTTGTAAAAACGAGTCCCTTTGTCAGTACTTTTTCCTACCCTGACTGTGGCTCTCATTTGTTCCCACTGAAGACAAGTTACAAATATAAACCTTAATTTATAAGGTTATAATATAATTTAAGTTATTTCCTTTAACAGGTGGACACTAGTTTTTTTAACAAACCAGATTTCAAACAGGACTAAATAGTGAATTTGTTGGAGACTATATTCAGCTGTGGATTAATACACGTTTGGTGGTCCCTACAGCTGAGTATTTACAGCAGCAGGATGGTGTGCAGCATGTGAGATTTACTGGAAATAAACTACAGTTCGTAATGGAGGAACATGTCACCCAGTGTTTAATTGCTTTTGTTCAACAATAGAGGTCTGTGACTAAAAGGACTCTATATTAGGATACACAAAGGTTTTGGTCTGTGATTGGATTTGTTGACAATACCAAAAATTTGGAATACAACCAGACTTTTCCTTTATGTAAACAAGATACCAAAGCTGGCAAGACATTCAGTTTCAGCTTTCAGAACGTGACCCTATTTGATACTCATTTGGTTTCAAAAAAGTATTTAGGTTCAATACCAAAACAGTAAACAAAATAACTAAACTCATAAATAGGTCGTGATTGGAATGACACCTCTTGAAGGAATACGCCATAAAACCTATATTGCAAAACACATGTGGTCGAAACAATTGCTCACACAGTCCCAAGAATATCTAAGCTGTTGTGCTTCTCAGCCTTAATCAGCCTGAGCGGCGAAGCCGAAGACCCGTCTCTTCACAGGAGGGGGGTTTTGTCCTGAAAGGTCCACCGTTTGTTCCAGGCAGACCAAACATTGGCTAATTGCTTTGTTTGTTGCCAGGTTTGGGTGGTGTTTTTGGTTGCACTTTTCCTTTAGTTTAGCATCCCAAGGATATTACCTTGAGCCTGGTGGGCCAAAAAGATGAGAAGGTGGATGGAAGAGGGGAGGTGTGGAAGAGTTGGAGACAAAGGAGTGGGGGAGGTTGGAGCACTCGGAAATATGAAGGCGCAGCGGCCGCGTTTGGGTGCCGTGATTAGGGTCTGAAGGGGCCCCCCATTCTCTCTTCGTCCTCAAGCTAAAAAATAGCAGGAGTTAAGGAAGGTGGTTATG